TGCTCCTCCCTTCGCCTTCATGTCGGGCATGTCGAGCCCCCCAGTCAGGTACCCGCTTCGCCCGCAGGCCGGAGTGCGAGAGAGCCCACCGTCAGTCAATTCATTTCCCCCCTAGTGACGCGAAGCTATCCCCAGACTCCCTTTTCGATTGTTTCCGGGTAAGTGAGGCTGGATTCCGCTCAGTGGCCAGAGCGAAGGCTACCTCCTGGGCTACTGAACCTCATTTGTTGCGAAGGACCCATGTCGGAACAAATTCCGTGTGAAGAAGGGAGTGTGATTGGCTACACACGGGGTCTGGTCTCGAGCTTCTCTCCCCTTTTTTACGTTTTTTCCCTCTTCCCATGTGAATAAACTGTGGGTTGCGCCCAAAGACTACAGGTGTCGTCATTGCGATCGACTCGGGAAACAATGCAAATCGCTATTCAGAAGGGGGGAACTGTCTCGCTTTGTGTCCCCGGAGGAAGGCCGGGAAGTTGGCTGACATCTAACTCTTGCTCGGAATTAACCGAACAGCATGGGAGGGTAGGGTCAATGAGTAAGGCGAGTGCATTTTTTTCTGGGGCAGGTTGCGAAAGAGAGTTGCAACTGTGCTGGATACTTAATACCCCTTTGGGATTTGTTGCTATTCGGGGTATACATTTCCTGCTTTCAATACTTTTGATTTCACGTCAGTGCATACGATGTACACATGCTTTGTCAAGTGTTCGTAAGGGATGCTGGGATGGAGGATGACTTAGTCAGGTAAAATCAAATCATCCCATCAGCAAACTTTTGGGGGATGAATGATGCAAGAGCTTCCTTGAACCATCTCATCTCGCCACGAGGCCATTCAGCCCCGTTCGTGTTTCGGGAGGAGGTGTGTCAAGTCGAATGATTGATTCGTACGTTTTCTCGTTCCCCGGCTCGGACTCTCTCATGTGTGAAATATGTATGCATGTGTGCGTACGTGTGCGCCAGCCATCTTCGAGAAGTTGCTGACACTTGCAACATGCCTGTCATTCAGGTGCCCATGGATATCTGTTGTTGAAAGTCAAGTCATCTACAGGTAGATCGATGCTGCTTACCCACTCGATGTTGTAACCCGCGGTCTTGGCATGGAAATATTTTCGCAACTTTTGATGAGGGACACCGCTGGAATAATCGTTCCCAATGTAACCAAATGGACGATACACTGAGTGTTCCCATCCTTTAGTCCCGCGAATTGATTGTAAGAATGGCGATCACCATCAGACGGGGATCAGGACTGATGTTTTGTCTCAGATATAGTGCAATGTGAAGCAGTAGTGCCGTCTACTAGTATGAATGAAAAAATCCGGGAACCACTGGCTATGACTCTAGCTTGGGTTAACTTGCATGCCCCCTCTCAGCTTCTACTTGCGTCTTTGACATGTTGATCTTCTTCCTGTGCTCATCCCAACATCGTCTTGGAACGAGAGACGTTATGGCCCCGGATGCTAGCAGTAGAAGTAGTGTGACTTGTTTTCGTAGACGGTGGCAAACTGGCTCAACCTTGCCTTACCCCTTAGCTGAGCCAAATCTAATCCTTACCATACTGCCGTACGGCTACCACTATACCCCTAACCCAACGGTATACTAGAAGACAGAGCTACCATACCCTACTCCGCCTTGTTGTCCCATTGGTTGTACTAAAATTTCCCGATGAGGATCACGCAGGCCTGCACCTGGAACCTCTCCGCTGGATTGTGAGGGGGGAGGGTGTGCCTGACTGTGAAAGGGTGATCCGGCTCAACGATTGGCGAACTCGCATGATGTGTGTGTTTGTGTGTGAGAACCTGATCTGGAAAGACAAAGATCCACAATGCCTTTCCACGATCAAAGAGAACCGGGAAATCGATGTCTGGTGATCAATAGCTTGAATGTGGTTGTCAGACCGAGGCGGCGGTAGTCATCACCCAACTATAGGTATGTGCGAAGGGCAGGCTGAAGGTTGGCTATGGCGGTTTTCCCAATCCTAACACTTCCAACGGGTGATGAGAGGCGAGGACACGATCCCAGAACTCCTGGGCACTCCGCAACTGAAGATCTATTGTTGGTTCTACGCCCCCTCTTGCGGGGTGGTGAGAGATGATACCAGACGAAAAGATGGGAAAAGTGGCGGAACTCCGACTTGATATCGAATCTTGTGGACGCCAGACTATTACGAGGCCAGACTCGGGCGATTATTCATATCTACCAGGTAAGTGATGTTCTTGAAAGCCGCGGCAGGCTCACATGCCGACCGAAGAAATGAGAAACCAAAAAATTCGATCTCGCGGAGTTCCGAAGCCAAAACGTTGCTTACTACGTGTCTTGCGTGAACGGAAGAGACTGCCAGGCCGTGTTGGAAAGAGGTTCTGGAGTAATCGTAACCTGTCGGATTGTGAACACTCCAGGCACGAACTTAGATCGTTCCTTCAGGAAATTGTTGCCATGCTTTGGCGGAACGTAAGCTAGGGATAGGCTGGCAGCGCCTATCTGGTGTATTAGTCACGCATGCCGTGAGGTATAAGATCGGTCGATCTCGGAGAGTTGCTCAGTCAGCCCTCCCGCTGTATTACAGCGCCGCGGTCGGGTGAGCTGTGCGTTTCGTAGGAGTTGCGTCGATCTTGGCTTCACGTGGTAGATCGTGGTTTTGACGGATGTAAGTTCGCAGCGGAGCGCCGAGTCGCGTTGGAGTGTGATGCTCAAGGGCTGTGGATGGATGGAGGGTAGGGTGAGTTGAGGTTGCAGAAAGAGCGGACTCGAGGCTTGCAGGTAGGGAAAAGGTGGTGTTGCTGGAGCTGTCAGCCTAGCTTTGCGTGCCACGAGATGTCGTATGCCATCCAATACGACTTCGTGATTCGGTCAGCATTATGTCAGACTGCCGCCCGGAACTTACGCTTGCTTCGCAGGAGGTGCCCTGTCGATCGACTCTATTTCCAACGCACTAGTCAGACTGGGCGATTGATGAGACTACCGTATCATGCCGAAGTCCTTGGCATGGTTCGTGGGTGACACGATGCCATATTCAGGCCTTAGGGTACGTCGTTGTTGTCGTTTCGTGGACTCTGAGATTAATATGGTGGTGAGACGGTCCGTAAATGCCGTATGCTGGATCACGGTCGGGGAAATGGGGTCGGGGTGTGATCGGGGCCTACCGACATAGCATATGGGCGAGTTCCCGAGCGATCCGGCATGATGAGAAATCGATTTGGCTACTTGGAGCATTGTGCAATGTTTGTTTTGAAGAGGTAATAACCGTCTTCGCTTTGGCGTCTGGTGTACAACTTAAGCAACCCATTCAAGCCGAGGACAAGATGTGAAGGTGACCCATCCGGAGCGGCGTAGCGGAGTCATATGTCCTTGGCGTCGAGGTGCGCAGCCCTCCGCATCGCATTCGACTTCGCCCAAGGCGTTTTGGGGACCGGTATTTAAGTGGCCGCCGAAACCGACGCCGAAACCGAGCCCGAGTGGGACGTAGTCCAGCTCCGAACGTTCCTTGTTGTACGAATTCAGCGAATGGTTGACACCTGGCCACTAGTGCAGTGCTGGGAAACGACTACCGACCAGCATGCCAGTAGTTGGGTTTAGCATGCGCTCAAGATATTGCTCCATAGGAGAGGCTGCGAAGTGCAACGATGGTTAGCTTCATGGACTAGACGCCAGAGGTTGATGATGACTTTACATGACAGAGATCCCCTCTTTTGTCTTGAGGTTGCAGTGTAATGAAGGGGCTCAGAAGCTAAGCGATGCTCTGCTTAGCTCTGTACGGTCACACTCGGATTCAATTTACCTCCTCCTTTACGTCATGAAGAGAACAAAAGCTAACGAACGCTCATCATTTCCGATGGCTTCGGAGACCGGAGAATTAGAAATGAGAAAGCGGTTGTCTTGTCGATCATTCGAAACGCCCAAGTGAATCTAAAACGATGGCAGTGATTGGCTTGGAATACGTGGAATAAGTTGGCGAGTCCAGAAGCTGAGATCTGCTCTCAAAGAGTGTTTCCAACACTGTCTTAAGGAGCACGTTATCAGACGAACGTTACACATCGATAATGATTTGGACGTAGAGACCCTCTTATGTGTGATAGCAAGAACCAATACCTTGGCTCTTACAAAAAGGCAATGTCATTATTCCGCGTATTTGGACTATATACGGGGTGGTTTGTGATACGCGACAGCCGCCGTGATGTAACATAGGTCATTTCCGCGTATAGATAATGAGAGGTGGCTTGGCGATGCCGTGATTCGCATGTGTCTCACTGGGAATAGCTACGCGTATGCCTGTAACTACCCACCTCCTCCACAAAGACAACAATGCGAAATGTTAACCATACAATATCTGATTGGTCTTCGTCGTCTCCTTCGAGAGGTTGATGGGAGCTTGGAGCAAGACCAGGATGCTCGGACGGGACGATCAGCAGAAATCAACACATTTGCATTGCTTCCAATCAGGGAGACACGATGGCGGGGAGAAGGGGTTGTTGGTGGCAACGGTAGCGCATAACGAAACAGAGTAAAGCGAGGAGAAATCAACCTATGAGCGAGGAGCTCTCGGTGTTGTTGAACATAAATATGAGACCTTGCGTGGTCCTCGTCGAAAGAAACGCTGGCAGATTGCAATCATCCAATTTTTCATCCGTTTCTCAACCTCTCAATTTGGCGCCTACCTAGAAGCAGACAAAAAATGATCCATATCATCACTTTCGCAGCGTTGGCCTCCGGCCTGGCGTCGGCCAACCCTCTCTTGGCTAAAGCTCATATGCCCAATTCTTACATTCGGAGAGTCTCTCCTAATGAATGGGCCCCTGCTGGGCCAGATGAGTGTACGTAGAAATCATTTCTCTCACTTCTTCCAATATCTGACCTCTAAAGTTCGGGGTCCTTGCCCCATGATGAACACATTGGCAAACCACGGCTTTCTCCCTCACGATGGCCGAAACCTTACTCAAGAAAATGTCGTGAAGGGCTTGCAAGACGGTCTCAACTTCGATATATCTCTGGGAGAACTAATGTTCAGGATGGCCATTGTTGCCAACCCGGAGCCGAACGCCACATTTTTCACATTGTAAGATATAATATGTCTCATGATTATGCGGATACAGAGTGTTGACTATTGTTATTCAGGGATCATCTCAACGCCCACAACGTCTTGGAGCACGACGCAAGTTTGAGGTTAGTTTGTCTAACACTTTACCGCTCAAAAACCTGCATTCATGCTCAATTGATTCGCAGTCGCACAGATGCTTTCTTTGGAAGTAATCACATCTTCAACCAAACTATATTTGATGAGTCACGAGCCTACTGGACCAAAGATGTTCTTGACGCGGATCAGCTGGCCAACAGCAAGATCGCCCGCCAAATCAACTCCAAAGCTTTCAATCCCAACTATACCTTCACTGCATCCGTGGAGAACTTCAGTCTCGGGGAGGTTGCTGCTCCAATCATTGCGTTTGGGGATATCAGCAGTAGCACCGTCAACAGGACCTTGGTCGAGTATTTCTTCTGTAAGTTCTGGAAACTCGAAGTCGTTCTGTCAAACTCGGTTTAATGTTATGTTGTAGTGAATGAGCGCCTTCCTACTGAGTTGGGATGGGTAAAAAAAGAGAACCCTATCGACCAAGAGGATATCCTTAGTGTGGTTCAAATGATAAGTAAGGCAACTAGCCTTATAACTGATGGCGAGAATGCACCACATGCTCGCTTAGTCCGAGACTTGCATACAGGCTTCAACCTCTTGGCTCAAAAGGAGAACTGAAGGGGTACAATTAGCACCACTAAACATGATCTAAGCTCAAGTATCATTCAGCTTTGCCTTTGAAGCACACTATATCTTTACAATGAAGAGGGAGATAGTACACAAGAACAGTCCATAGTAGCCACGGAAATCGGTATTCAGCTTGACTAAGGACATTACCACATCATCAAACAAAAAAGGATTTCCAAAGTGAGGTCTTAAACGCGTGAGGACGAGTCTAGTTCTTGTACTGTGCAACTAGTTCGCTTCTGCTTGGAGCCGTGTAATATCCGAGCTCGACGTGATGCTTGCTGTTGAAGTTAATTCGGGATGATCACGACCTCCTGATCAATCGATAGCTTTCTTCCATTTATAGCAGCCTAGTTGGTGACACATACGGTTTCATTGCCGTGTTTTGGGACAATAACATTATGGGCGTTGTTGGTAGAGACGGTAATGGCCAGGTAAGGGCATAGACATTCAGCTTCGTAAGACCAATGGCATAGATGACAAGGACTTCAAGTACTACTTTTTTTAATAAGTTTATTTTATCAAAAGGGCAATTGCAGTTGAGAAGAGATCTTAACTTCTAAGATCATATTCTTTACATTTAATATAGTTTCCATCAACTGTTCACCCCTTAACTAGTATGAAGTCAGAAGTTTGAGAGTTGAGATTAATTACAAACCTTCTGCTTAACAGTTTTATTTCTGCTGCAGATAAACACGCTAGACATTATCCAGAGCTTATGTCCCATCTCAGAGGAGGTTAGCTTGGCAGGGCGAAATAAGTAGAGTGTGGAGAGGGGCTTAGATTCATGGTAGTGAGCGTCTTGCTTAGCCATAGTTGAAGCCGATAAACAAGACAAGTTCTAAACACACCGGAAGCCTTCTAGCTGTATTGGCAGATCTAAGGGCTAGACTTATCGTACACTTAACACCTGATGGACAGTAAGATCATTAGACCAATGCAATCCAAGAGCCACCGAGTGAACCGCGGCGTGATTATCAGAGAGCTGCAAAAGTCAACATTACTATTCCCCAGCATGGTTTCTTGTACTTGAATGCGACATCTTTAGTCAATGTCTATCGGTCTTGGGCCTACGCCCAAAGTCGGCTCCTAGTGTTGATCCGCTCTTGGCATATGGGTCCTGGCCCATGGTCGGCTTACTTGTCGTATATGGCCTTCCCTGTACTCAGATAACCTTTCTTAGATTCTTCAATTAGTTGCATCTACATATTAGACTATCGTATTTTGTAGATGCAACACCCTATGCTGTTGGTGTCTCGACGTTACGCGCGGTCACCTTGTCTCTATCTTGTGGTGCCGTAACTCACGAAGTCTCTTCGGCGAATGCTAGAACCTCCTCCTAACCAACATTCTTACACGCACTTTACCACAGTAGCCAAGAATCTAGTCGCACCACGAAGACACCGAATCAGGATCGGCGTAGCAGGTGAGAGCGTTGTTGACCGCACACGGAAAACCGTTTTGAGCCTCTACAACCGGTAGCATAGTCAGTGATAAATGGCCGCATTTTGAAACAAGATTGACACTTACGGTTCTTGCACATAGTCTCCATTGTATCTCCATCAATAACATTGCCACCAGGACCAACAGAGGTGCACTGTGCTCAATGTAAGCCTACCATCCCACGACAAACGCTAAAGCTATGTCACTCAAGAAAACAGCAACTCACCCGTCCGCTCGGCGTGTCGTATCTCACGTGGTTTACGCTGTCAGGCCACTGATGAAATGGTGATAAGTAAAACTGGAAGCATCTGCCATCACGAGAGGGAAAGTTTCGTACCGTTGCATCAATGTACTGATTGTACGCATCGCATGCTTTGGTAGTGATGCGCCATATGTAGCTTCCGCCGTTGTGACATGTGCAAGAATAGTGCCATCTGGCATCGCTTGGAGGGTATAATGTCAGTTTCCAACTATAAAGTGCCACATGTGTCTAGTTGGACGCTTTCCGAACAGATCTGTTTGCAATAACAGCGACGGAGACTGAGAATGTACCAACTTACACGGAAAAGGTAAGGAATGCGACAGCCGCCAAAGCGGAAAGTTGGAACCGCATTTTTTGCACAACGAATGAAGGATTGAGAAGAAACGGGCTATTTAACAGATAAGTGTTTGTTGAGAAAGCTTGGCAATGAAAATGCTCATGGGCATCTGTCGATGCAGATTTGGCACGTATTTAATGAATGACTGTGAAGGGCCATTCGTGGGATCTGACTCGTATATTCTGGTGGCAGACTATGGAGAACGAAATCGCCCGGAAAGTGACATTCAGGTAACGTAGGCTGTCAAACTCATAAACCCATATCGGCTGTTTGTTTACTTGACTCGAGTTGACTTCTGCCGCATAAGCAGCAGATAGGATGCTAAACCCGCGGACACGCGAAATTGTCGATCGTCCTTCATGAGTGACTCCGCACATGTATTCACCCAGGTAGTACCCACTCCTGATATTAGTTAAGTCATAGACCACTATACTCTCAACATAAACAACCGTCATTTCTGTTGAAGACCCAGAAATATCAAGGAAACTGCCGTGACCGCTGATTGCTAGCCGAGGGCAATTGACTTGCTGTTGGATCGAGTACCTGAATATATAGGACCTACGTATATCTCAATAAATATTCCAAAGATCTCTAGCCTTTGTATGATTTAGTGGTAGTCCCAACAGAGCCGAACGATAAACTGTCTATGCAACAGAAAGAACTTCAAATCAAACTAAAGCACGTGCGCTGTGCTCTAGTCGATGTCCCGTGTGATATTTTGATCAACATCTCCCTGAAAACTGTCTATGGCGGTGAGCTCTCCGTCACCTATTCATCTGTATATGAGAGCTACAGCAAATGAAAAGGCGGTAACCAGGTGCGCTATAGGTTCTAAGAACCCACATGATTACATATACTAGTAATTACATGGAACGCAGTAGAAGTACCTGAGTAGTGTTGAGATATGCTACGCGTGATTAGTGGAATTATATTAAACTATGTGGAGTCTAGTAGCCGGTAGCCGGTAGCTGTGTGGGATGTCGTAAATCATCTATCTCTCTTGTTGTATGAACCCTCCCTAAAAGACTAAGCTCTAATTCGCCCCTTGCACACGTGCTCCCTTGTAGCAGAATCACGTTGTTCGTCTTACCTTTATCTGAAGTCGGGCCATGACTCTGACAATACGGTTATACAATAGCGCAATTTGATCTGGAGAAGCATGTGGAGAGCTTCGGGTGTTATCTTCGAAGCTGTCACCACAATGCCTCCGCTTGCATGACTTGTGTTTGGGGCCGACTGACTCCGTATCATATCATGGGTGAGAGACTTCGAAATTGCACCATACCGAATGGGCAACTGGATCAACAGTTCAACCATTGGAACTGATGGGACCAGAACTCGCGTGCTTGCTGTGAACGGAACATAGAGCAGAGGAACACGTTAGAAGGATAACAGCTATCAATTGGAAGAGTATCCCAACAGTACAAATACAATCCGGAAGCCTTCCCAAAGTCAGAATTTTCATCAACAATTCAAACTAGCTCAGTATCATTACTCCTGCTTGAGCCCTTTCTCAAAAAACATTCTTAAGTGTACGTTTCGGAAACATGATTTTTACACTACCTTTCGTCCTATTCGCGCTTGCTACGGCAGCCCCAATCAACGGGACATCTCACACCAGCGCCGAGAGCCTGTTGTCTTCCATTTCATCTTTGGATCTTGACCATGACGATGTCATTCTCTATGGAGTCAATGGCCAGTACAAGGTCATCAAGGACGCAGAATTCCAAACCCTCACTTCCGCGGGTGTCCTAACATACGGCGGCAATGACAAGGTCGAGACACGCCACCTGTTGGACTCCTCTGCGTTGGTCAAGGCCCGCGACTGCGATGGAAGCAATGCTGAGTTTGAGATCACCAGCACGGCCGACTTCCTCGACTGGGACGTCCAGATCTCGCCAGTCATCGGCGCTCAGCAGGCTCCTGTGACCATTGCGGTTGCGCGCGGCTACTCCCTGGCAAATTCAGTTACTGTTGGAGGAACTGCCGGCATCTCTGCTGAGGGCATCTCCATCGGTCTCAAAATCGATTACCAACAGACATGGACTACTACCGATACGACCACCATCACCTATACCGTACCTACGGGCCAGTATGGTGTCATCATCAGCCAGCCCTGGACTCACCGAATTTACGGCAATGTTTACACCTCGTGTAGTACGGATCCTGGGGCCAAGTCGACGTTTATGGGCAGCAGCCATACGAGCCAAACATACGGTAGCATGGACTGGGTGACGGGAGTGTTCCGTCTCTGCGCGAGCAAAAACTACCCTATTCCTTACTGCAATGGACAGGGATCTCACCACTGAGAGTGGTTAGGCTATTTGACGACATTGCCGCTTCAATGACCGCTTGGGCCCTGGTCTTCAAAGCAAAGGTGGAGGAGCATTTCTTTTGGTTGACGTACTGGAGACCTACTATTAGAGATCAAGGCTCACATGGCCTCCGACGATGTTGGTTGTTGCCCACATGGCCTTGGCATAAATTGGGTAGAGGATCGACGGCTCTACATATGAGGACCAATAGAAAGCCTTGCTAAAGAGTGTCGGTCTCTCTTGTTCATATCGGAAGACAGCTAGTTCGACAACATACAATGTGGATTGTAAGGTACATGACTCAACATAATCTATTTCAAGTGGGGGATTGGGGGGATTTCGTAATAGTTCATCTAAAAAAGGTGCGATCCTAGTCGTACATTTGTAAAGCTTTTCCGAATATACTTAGCCACAAGTGGCCTTGGATCTTGAGATGTCAGGATCATACATTGCTCCGTTGAAACGTCGTTGATCTCTGTGCACAAAATCACCGGACGAGCCCACAAGTCAACAAAAGCAACCTCCTCTGATGCCCTAATGAATTATGCGACGACGGATAGATGAATGTGCAGAAGAGGCCGTCATGCTACTCTGGATGCCAATTACTTCGTTTGATATCTTCCCACGATACTAGAGAGAGTGTTTGGCATAACTGTTGTAACTTTCTCAAGTCCATTTATACTTTTACGGAGTTATATGTCAGTGTGAATCATAGGGCTTTCGCCACAGTTGAGATCAAATTGCTTATTGGAACGGGGCAGGGTTTCCTGCTCCCATTAAGGTTGTCTTTGCGTTTGGGTTTCTTTGATTTCTTAGGTAAGCAGGATCTAATCAGGGGTATAGAAATCTCTTATGACATAGAGGGACTTAGATCAGACACCAACAGACAACACACACTCATCGGACTTTTCTGTGCCCAAGGGAGGATCCTTTCTGTCTTTCGTGATAACCGCTACCCTAATTATTTCTATGCAAGAACTTTGAGAGTCTCTACTTTATCCATCGCGCTGCAGCCAAGCCTGATCAGGGCAGATTTAACCTAATCAGGACAGCTGATTCGCGACAGACTAAAGGCATCTTGCGTAGTTATAAGGGGCGGTTGTGCTTGTTCACTGCACCGCGCCGCTCTCTATAGACCTGATCACCCTGCACACTTCCATTATCTAATTACCTCGACGAGTTTCTCACGATGCACGATACCTGTCCAGCTCTTGAGATATTAGCGATCGAGAAGTTGGCATCGATCAAATTATGGGACAATGACCAGAACTGTCGTTGGTAAATAGGAAGGACGTCGTCATGGATAAGCCCGGACCGGGGCGGACCAACCCGGACCCGGCACAACCGCGGGTCCCCTCATTAACCCCAAGCCTCCGGTCCAGCCGACGCCGTTCTCGAACCGCGCTGCCTCCGGTGTCACCTTGCGGACGCTCCTCCAGACTTCAACGAATCCCATTACGCAGAAACAATTGCCAAGGAGGCGCTAAAGTAAGATTGCCTGCAATTTATCCATCATCTTAACCCCCTCACAGATCCATGCGTAACCTCGTTTCCCGGCTGCAACGTTGATCGCCGCCCCTCAATTGGTGGGAAGTCTCTTTCTCAATCTGCAGACTGCTACAGCAGCACCAGAGTTGCAAGATCCAAAGGCCCAACTCAACAGGACCCAGCCTCTGGACCGAGGCGCATGTCTACACGACTGTAATCCCTCCCACGGAACGCCATTTACAGACTGTCCAAATTGCGTGATGCAGGGCCGAGGAAGCGCCTTGAAATAAGCATTTCGGATGTCACCCGGAATAGGTGGGCCTACAACGGCTGAGAGTTCTGTTCAGAGGTCGTTTAGATTAATCACACCTTTTGCTTCTGGATGGCAACATTGGCGCGAGCTGGCAGCGAGTTGCCCCTCTCAGTCTAGTTCGTGCGTCTGTCAACCTCCCGGGTCTCCACTGCCGTGGGACCCCCGGACTCGGGCATCTCGGTGTAGCATCAACCCGCTCGACGATGCAAAGTTAGTGATGCGCTTGTAGGGAACACTTCGCTGGCAAATTCATATAAAAATACCAACAATCCACTCGACGTTTGAAATGTAACCTCTGCTGCCCCCATTGCCTCTTGACGCAAGAGAGTCGCGCCCGGGTCCCGTCAATTAACACCCTCCCCTAACCCCATCCCCCTGAGACCTCGCAAGATGCGGTCCTTCATCCCCGCCCTCGCACTCGCGGCCTCGACAATGGCGGCAGAAACCCTTCTCTACAGCAACCCCCTCAACTCGACCTCGGACGTCGCAACCTGGGTCGCCGAGGGCCCCTCAACGTCACCGCCGTCGACTCAACCATTGAGCTCTCGGGCGCCGGCAACGAGGCCGACTACTTCGTCTACTGGGTGCCCGAGGTGTTCCCCGACGGCATCCGCATCACGTGGGAGTTCTCTCCGCGCAACGAGCCGGGCCTGGCCATGTTCTTCTTCGGCGCCGCCTCCGCCGCCGATGACGGCAAGGGCTCCATCTTCGACCCGTCCCTCAAGCCGCGCAACGGCAGCTACCCGCAGTACCACTCCTCCGACATCCGCACGCTGCACGCGTCCTACTTCCGGAGGCGCTGGCCTGAGGAGAGGGCCTTCCACCTCGCCAACCTGCGCAAGTCGCCCGGGTTCCACCTCGTCGCCCAGGGCGCGGATCCGCTGCCGCCCGTGCCCGATGCCGCCGGGGCGTTTTACAAGATCGAGGTCATCAAGGACAAGCGCGAGGTCAAGTTCCTCATCAACGATTTGCCCATCTTTGAGTTTTACGACGACAAGTCCACGGGCCCCGTCATTCGGGACGGGAGGATCGGGTTCAGGCAGATGCAGCCGCTCGTTGCGCGGTACCGCAACCTGCAGGTGTGGAAGCTCTAATCGATTGGCCGGACGAAATGCGCGAAAGGGGTTGGCGGTATAATAGTCTAATAGAGTCCTTGCATGGCTCGTCCCTTGCCCTCATGTCCCAAAGACCTTAATCATCGTGCTCCTGGACCCCGTTTTGTAGCCTGGACCTCCATCTTATGGGCCGACCCAAGTCCGCAGACAACCTAGGAATCACCTCATCCGCAACAGACCCCTCGTCCCCAAGCTTGTCCAACTCCTCAATCAAGTCCGCCACGTCCGGCGGCGGCGCCGTCTCGAACACGGCCTGGATATCGCCGTGCGGCGAGAAGCCCGAGAACTTCCAACTCAACAATGAAGAGCCCGTCTTGGCCCTCGACCGCCGCGAGAACTGGCGCCTCTCGTAGAGGCTGATGAGCAGCAGCGTCGGCAGGTTCAGCGCGCGGATGAGGGCGACGTTGACCCGGTGGAACGTCTCGGGCGAGACCAGGAACCGCAGCGGCAGCAGCGTCACAAGGGCAAAGATGTTGAAGGGCGGCGGGTAGGCAAAGATGGCGTCGCTCTTTACGCCCTCGAAGGTCAGGACGGCGCGGCGGAACTGCACCTCGGCGGTCTCGTCGGCGATGATCTTGGAAAAGGTGTTTGTGAGCATGGCCACGAGGATGGTCAGGAACAGCGTGTTGCCGAGGAACGCGAAGCCGATCATGAGGGCGGGGCCCAGAACAATGTGGAACTGCACCGACTCCTCGATGCCCGTGCCGTCGAGCCCGAACCAGATCCAGAGCATCCACTTGCAGATTGTGAACCACGAGGGCGTCTCGTTGAAGTTGTCGTTGGAGTCGATGAGCCACTGCAGCGCCAGCAGGAAGCCCATGAAGCACCAGCACGCGAGGAACGACAGCAGCAAAAAGTCCTTCATCATGGCGTGCAGGGAGATGAGCACAATGTTGTCCGGGGCGATGTTGAAGGCGATGCGGGTCAGCAGGATGGGCGCCGCGAGCGGGAGGATGTGCAGGCCGTGGCCGTCCGGGAAGTGGCCGGCGCCGACGTCGTAGATGCGCGCGACCACGTAGGCGCCGTAGATGACGGAGAAGGTGACGTCGAGCCAGGACCACAGGTTCTGCGCGTGCACCTCCCAGCCGTGCTCGATGATGGCGGCGAACTCGTCGAGCACCCAGCCGGCGGCGTAGATGCAAAACAGGAACTCAAAGATCTCGTTGCTGCTCCGGCGGTAGAGCATGGCGAGGAAGTAGAGGACCATCAGTACCAGGAACTGCACGAACTCAATGAAGTTGCGGGAGCGCGGGACGATGAGGCGGTAGTGGTTCAGGATGGGCGCCTTGCGCGGGTCGTAAAGGGAAATGGGGTGGTACTTGTAGTGGTCCGGGAGGATGTCGACGAAGGACAAGGGGGTGTAGATGACGCGCCCCTCGTAGACGGCGTTGACGACGCGCTGGCAGCCGGGGGAGCTGATGAAGGTCTTGCTCTCGGACAGGATGGCGAGCTCGAGGGCCGTGAGCTTGCGCTCGAGGCCGCCGCGCTCCTGGACGGCCCACTGGCGGCGGCCCTCGAACTCAACGGCCTCCGGGGCGCCGTCGAAGGGGTCGAAGCCGCCGACGAGGATGTGCGAGAGGAAGAGCAGGCCCTGGGAGCCCGGGTTGGCTTCGTGGAAACGGCGGAGGACGCGGATGGCGACCAGCTCGCAGAGCGTCGCGCGGGCGATGTTGACAGGCTGGTGGACGGAGGTGGCTTGCTGGCGGAGGAAGTAGAGGCGGTTGGCCAGCAAGCAGTAAACTGAAGGGAGCATCAGAGCTGGTGGTGTTGGCTCAAAAAGGGATCCGACGTACCGGTGGTGATGTCCTTTGGGTGAAACAGACGTTCGACAAGAGGCCTCACTATGAGCACGTTCATCCTAGGGTCGCTCAACTGATCGAGCGTGTAGGGGTCGTCTGAGGGGGTAGTTAGTTGTGAACCCTATGAGATGGCTTCTGAGGCTCTCACCTATGCTTGCAACGATGAGCCGGCGCACACTACCTCAACAGTCAGCTTAGCGCCCATCACCAACGACACCTCGGGAGCAGAAT